AAGTCCCCAAGAGGATGGGGTGCTTTGGCACAATGAATGCTGGTGTATTGTATGTAACTTTTAACCACATAAGAAACTTTTTTTTTAGTATCTTTGAGACACTTGTGAAATAATTGTGTTTATTAACACTTACTTGAATAGCAGATATCCAAGTCAGCTGGAGGAAGATTTAATGTTGTACTATTTTTTAGTTACGTTCCAGCATACACAGGCATTACAGTGGAGCCTCAGTTCTTTAAGAGACTTGGGGAACTTTTGTGAACCCTTTTGACCAAATTGCCTCACCAGGTAGCTGTGCAAAGATTCACACCTACAAGGTAAAAGATGAGAAACTTGGGCACATTATGTTCCATCCATGTAACTCTACCCAGCTACATAGAGAAGCAACATTTCATCCTCTGGCTACACTTCAGTGCATTTTGTATGTTTGCGCGTGTATGTTATGTTTGCTGTGACTAAGACTGAGCAATTGGATTCAGAGTACTGCAAATGTAAATAAAGACATGTCTGATTTGAATATTCTAGTAGCTCCCTGTCCTATGTTACTGAAATAATGTAGAATCACAAGTTATTCTCAGGATACAGTCCCTAGCAGGAAGTTATGGTTTGTTTTCTTGGAACTGTAACCGAGAATGTAATTGTGTTCAGTGCTGTTAGACTGTTATATCCTGGCAAAATCCTGGAATCTCCAGCTCCGCTGAAGTCCACTGACCGAGCCAAAGTTCTGGCTTCAAAAAACTGGTCTGGTTGAGAATTGCCTTTGGGCTGGATGCATGCTGGTGACTGTCATTTACCGGGGCGTCTGGACGGTGCTGGCACAGTGACACCATTCCTCGCATGGGCAACTAAGGCAGCTATGTGTGAGAAGTATCATCAGTAAAGAAGCTGTAGCAATGAAGCTGTGGTTTCAAAGAAACTTTTATGTGACTGGATTCAAATTAGAAGAATGTTAGGGTACGTCCCTGTTTCCCAGCCTTTGGTGAGGACTCTCCTGAAGTAAATGGGACTAGCTGTGGGATTCATTCAGCTGGACTGGCGGTATAGGCGCGCAATAGTTCTTGGTAAGTAAATCCCAGTTTAATTTCTGAGCCATCCGTGAGTACAGCTGCCTTGTCACCATAGTTCAAGATGTAAAATATGAAAGCTGTGCTGCATCCAGATATTGGAACGTTTTGATTCTGGCTTATTTCTACTCTGGGAGAATTGTGGTTTAGGATTCTGATTAGTCTGTATTTGATGTGCCACAGCTGAGATCAAAACTGATCATCCAGTTCATGTATTTACTTGAGCTTTCAGACTTGCAAGAATTTGTAGAGAGTAGACTGCTATGACATTTTAAAAGTTGTAGGTATACAGTGTTTGTGTTCGGTAATTTAGAATGGGAGGATTCTTCTGCATTTCAAATATTTTTTGTATTAAATTAAAATATTTTGTGCCAATTGGGGTCATGAAGCTACGAAATAGAAAAGCAAGAATGTCAGATGTGCTTATTTTTTATTTTTAAGATGAAGTTTGGAAAAGTTTTATAATAAAAAAAAAATGAAGCTTAATTTCTTTTAATTTGTTTATATTCTTTTGTATTTGGTTGTGTCTTATGATTTGCCTGAATGTTGAAGACATCTGAAGGTGTCTACATTGATGAGCATGCCTATGGAGAAGGTACATACAAAGAAACTTGTCAAGAATATGGTAGGAATGGCAGAAACAGTACAAGGAAAATCCTCATTCTGTAATTTGAGTGCAGAAGTGCAGAATTTGCATAAAAATAGTTCTTATTCCTTTTATAAAATTTGTTTCAGCTATATTCTTAAAACTTTGTAAGGAAAGAATTGGGAAGTGTAATGGACTTTGAAGAGAATCAAAATACCGTAATTTTCAGGAAGGAGTTTGGCCCTGGAAGTATAGGGGGGAACACACACAAAGTTTGGAGCAGTTAAGTGTTTTATGGAAATCAGAGAAAAGTATGTATGGCCATTTCCGGCATGTGAAAATTGATCTGGAAGTTCAAAGTTTGCATTTCAGTAATGTGGTGGTTGTGAGAGAGGTTGTAATGACTCTCAGAACCACTTCAAAAGACTAGAGCATCTAGCTAATCCAGTCACTCCTCTGACTAGCTGCCAGAACAGCCAGTTGGAAGGAAAGGAATCCAACCCAAATTACCTACTTGAGATGTGGTTTAATAGTTTAGATAAGGGAGAACGGAAAGGAAGTTCCTGGGTGGCTGGGATGTTGTCCTTCGCAATGGTGCCCTCTACATTGCACTCCTGGGTTTACTTTTTGTAAGGCACTCGACTGGGGGGATGTCTGTACTTTACCTTTGTAAACAAGATTCAGCAGATGTTTTGGTGAAAATTGTTAAAGAACTGATGAGCTGGAGTGCAGTCTACAGCTGTTTCAGATATGGTAAAAAAGGATTGCAAACGCGCTCCGAGTCAGAATCTGAAAAGCTGACGACCACAGCAAACCCCTGCAGTTACGAGCAGCTAATAGAGTCACAGCCTAGCCTGCCCCTGCCTTCCCATGGAGAGTCACAGGAGAAGGGAATCCAGAGAGGCTCTGTAGAACACACTACTCTTTGGCCCAAAGATAGCTGTAGAAAATATGACAATGTATCTGGTAAAAGTAACCTTTTCCCCTTAAATGAGAACTTGTAGGTAGAGTCATAATGCAAAAGAACACTGAGTATTTCCCAAGTGCAAATACTGCATATAGAACAGAATGTATGGTGGCAGAATTGGGAAAGATACTGTTGGAAAAGAAACAAATTCATAATTAGTAGTTAACATTTTAACCCCTCTGCCCAAGTTTGCGAAGTAGCTTACCAAAAAGGGACAGCAAGTGGCTATTGGATGTGGGATGCTATATTGAAATGATGTCTCTGAAAGATGCTGAATAAAAACCCCTGAGACTTATTTCAGCTATTACTTGCATGCAGGGCAAGAGAAGCTTTGAAGAGTAACTGTTAAACTCTTTCTCTGTGACTTTCAATAGAAACTGTTTCACAGTTAGCGTAAGATTTAACTTTTTCCATTTGGTAGCTGATTACTGATTATTTTTAAACAATAAGGAATTTTGCATATTAGTACAAGATAATGTTTAATGAAATGTTGATTTTTGTGTGGTAGCATAGCTGCTTCTGGTGCCCATTCTGTACTCTTATTCTGTCTGTCCCAAAATGCATTCCCCATGATCCCAGTGAAACCTGTTGCAGAGCTCGTGCTGAGTCCTTCGCTGCTGTCCTGTGTTTATTCTGCTGGTATCACTACTTTAGGGACACCTCAGCTGTGACGTGAGCCTGTCATTCGTTAATGGATGCGAACTGTTGTTATAATCTGAAATAATCTTAAGAAAAAAAGACCTGAAAATGCTGTAAGGAGGTTAGTAGTATGATACTACTTTTATTCAGAGAAGGGAATTCACGTGAGAAATTGGGGTAACTTTTATGTTTAGGTGTGTTCCAAGTATACCAATTTATAAAGCTCAGGTGCCAAATCCCCTGTTTTACTTACTTTCCTCATCCCTCAACCCAAAATGAGCTGTACAGGACATTGATTTAGTTTTTATAAAATAGCACAGCCTCTGCTTACGGTCTGGTGGGATACTGTAGTGTCTGACCGCAGCTGAACACGCGATATGTGTACCGAGGGGAAGTTACGGAAGAAGTCCGTGGTTAAAGTTGCACAACCAGAATCGGTTTGCCTTTTCTTAACTTTGGAGCAATTAGTCAGGGAAACTTAAGGTTGTGTGTACATAACACGTGCATAGGTTTGTCTGCAAGACCCTCTTCAACTTTAGTGAAGTAGGAAAGAGTTGATTCGTTTGGTGATCACAGCCTTTCATCTAACTCCTTCTTTTGTGTCCTTATCTGACTCATACTTCCAGCATTTTGTCCTTCCCTGGAATATCCCTCCTAGTTTTGACTGCTCCATACATATGGTTTCCAAGGAATGGTTTAAGTGGAGACTGTGGAAAGACAAGTGGCACAAAGCAGGCAGAAACATTTTTTTGATGTCCAGAAGAGTTGCTGCCAGAGCAGCCCTGTGGGTGGGTTTGCAATGAAAAGGAGTTAGTGGGAAAAGGGTTTGAATTTATAAAGTAATACACTGGTGGTCACTGTTATTCTCAGCAGTGTCTGATGAGTTGAACCTTCACTTCCCACAACATGTTATCCCTCTGCTCATACATGAAAGCCCCTGTTCTGTGGCCGTATTTGCTCTCCCTGACATGACTGTCTAAAGGTAACTTTAAAACCTAGACAGAAACGTTTGTTCATTTGATGTTTGAAGGAGAAAATTAATCATAGATAAAAGTAACTGATTTTCATTTTTAAAAAATCCCTGGTTTGATTTCAGCAGCCAACGGCATCCTGGCCTGTGTCAGCAATGGGTTGTCAGCAGGAGCAGGGAGGTGATCGTGCCCCTGTACTCAGCTTTGGTGAGGCTGCACCCCGAGTACTGTGTCCAGGGCCCCTATCTGCAAGGAGGACACTGAGGTGCTGGGAGGGTGCAGAGGCGGGCTGCCAAGCTAGTACAGGATTTGGAGCATGTCTCGTATGAGGAGCGGCTGAGGGTTCTGGGGCTGTTCAGCCTGGAGAAGGGGAGGCTGAGGGGAGACCTGATCGCTCTCTGCAACTGCCTGAAAGGAGGCTGTAGCGAGGTGGGGGTTGGTCTCTTCTCCCTGGTAACAAGCGACAGAACAAGGGGAAATGGCCTTAAGCTGCACCAGGGGAGGTTCAGGCTGGAGATTAGGAAGAATTTCTTTACTGAAAGGGTTGTCAGGCATTGGAACAGCCTGCCTGGGGAGGGGGTGGAGCCACCATCCCTGGAGGTGTTTAAGAGACAGGTAGATGTTGTACTTAGGGACGTGGTTTAGTGGTGTTGGTGGAGCTAGGACAAAGGTTGGACTCCATGATCTTGAAGGTCTCTTCCAACCCAAACTGTTCTATGATTCTATAAATAACAGTTATGGATCGTTTAAAATGCTTTCTGTTTGCTTGGCAGATACCGAACAAGTTTCAGACCTCGGTACACAGTTGCGTACAAGACAGTGACAGAGCTGGAATGGAGATGCTGTCCTGGGTACAAAGGGGAAGACTGCAGAGAAGGCCCGGCAGAAAAGCCAAACACCGCTCGTCGTCCCACAACACCAGCGAAAGCTGTTATGAAGAAAGGTTTGGGTAACTTTTCGTTTGAGTGTTGGTGTGCATGATCACGTCTGGTTTCTTGGTTTGTCTTTGAAGTGTGAGAACTGTTATGGTTTCTGTTAAACTCAGCTGCTGGTAGGTACAAAAGCCATGGGGGAGACACTGTGTAGTGGGAAAATAATAGCCAGGCAGTAACAGTCTTGATGCGGAGAATTTCCTGAAGCATGATGGAGGGGTGGTGGTAGAACACTGGCCATAGATGCCAGCTGGCTACTCATGGTTCAGGAACATTCTTTGTGTTAAGTTTGGGTTTTTTGTAAGAATTTACAGGGGATTTTTGTGGTTTCTTCAGTGTTCAGCAGAAAAAGATACATTTGAGAGGAAAAGAACAAGTACTAATTTTAATGCTATTTTTGCTTTCTAGCAGCTTCAGTGTTTTGTTTGAGGGCTTGATCTTGCAGAATTATGTTAAATTACCTGCCTTAATACTAAGGAGTGAGGGAATGATAAGCCTCGATTTCTGAAAAAATACCTTAAAGAATGAATGAGGTTTCTTTCTATAAGATACTGTCTTGGGAATGCTGTTACTGCAGTATTTTGGAAGCAAGTGTGATAACTGGAATATCTTGTAGAACCCCATCCAGTATATGCATTTGGACCCCAGTACAGCAAAGTATTGGAGCACAAACCCACTTCAGGCATGTAAATTATTGCCACTTAAGTTTTCAATGGGAATTCAGGAGCATCACCTCCAAATTATTGTTACAGGAGATGCAGTGGCTCTCAGGTGATTGTGTTTTGATGTGTATGGCTGTATAATGGCCTGTTATATGTGCTATAGTTTAGGTTCATTGCTGAACAAAGAGGGGGTTCTACTTGCTAATATATTTATTTATTTACATTGAATTTTGTCAGGAATTGGTCAATGTGTTAAAACTTTTAGTTTGGATTGTTTTGGTAACGTTTTAATTATAAACTACTGAAAACAATAATAGAAAAGGGAACAAGCGTGATGTGATTTAAATCATATTTGGCTTTAAAGAAAAGTGAAATTAGCCTCGGCTATACCACTGGGAATATTTACATCCAGACTTTTTCTGTTATTTCCATGAAATAGGTGCAGAACCAACAGAAGTGCCAGAACCTTCACCATATGATAAGAAAATACAGTTTCTTGAGGATGAATTGTTTAGACTTACACGATCAGTGCTTGAACTTCAGTCCTCTGTGGCAGGCGTGAATGAAAACCTAAAATTGACTGTGCAAGAAGATGCTAGTAGGATGTTGGTCACTTGGCTGAACAACCTTTATGACCGCCCGGAGCCTGATAGTGCAGTTGGTGGCGAAACGGACACTATTCACCTGCCTGGACTCCTCAGCAACAGAGATCAAAAAGACCCTTTTATTGATTTTGAAATGGAAGATCTAAAGACTGAGCTAGCTGAGGTCAAAGAAGCCTTGAAGATGAGGAATGACAAGCTGGAGGAACTGAATGGAAAAGTAAAAGGCTATGAAGGACAATTAAAACAACTGCAGGAGGCAGCACAAGGACCTACAATAACAATGCCCAGTGACAATGTATATCAGGAGTATATAGACTCAAAATTTGAGTCCCTCAGACAGGAAATACTGGAAGGATTTGAAAAGAAAATGGCAGATCTGAAGAATTCCTGTGAATACAAACTAGAGGATATCCAGCAGCAGTGTGATGACAATGACAGTAACTGTTTGGGAATAATTGATGTTATAAGAGGAAAAGAGAATGACTTGAGGAAAGAAATAAACACTCTTCGAACTCAGATTCTATCGAACAAGTCCAGTTGTTGCAAGGAGGGCGAGATAAATGACTTTGACCAACAGATAAAAGATTTAGATAAGAAGATTGACAGAGTTGCGGAAGCACACAGGATCTTGAACGTCAGGATAGATAATGAAATCAGTCGATTGTCAACTCCAGATCTAGAAGACATGTTTGGTGAGAGGCTGGAGGAGCTAGACGCGAGGATGAATGTTACAGAACGAAATGCTGAAGAGCATTGCTTTTACATTGAGGAAACTCTCCGTGGTGCTATAGCTGCTGAGGTAGATGAATTGAGAGACTCGTTTGACCAAAAGCTGCGGGCGCTAGAAGATAGGCTAGGTGGCACTATTTTAGAGATTGCCAATACCACCGACCCAGATGGAATGTATATTAGTCCTGGGCCGCTGTTGCCTAGTGATGCAGGATTTGCGAATGAGCAATTTACAGCAGAGATGAATTTCCTGAAGAACAAAGTACTGTCGCTTGAACACCTCTGTGGGCAGAAGTGTCAGTCTGCACCACAAGGTACGGAGGTCCTTCAGAAGGAGCTAGAAAATTATAACAACAAATACAATCACTTGCTTTTGAAAACAGAGGATAACTCTGTTCTCCTGCAATCTCTGAATAGCTCTCTTAACGAGGAACTTGACTTAATTAAGGGTAACCAACGTGACATCCAGAAAATGCACAGAGACGTACGCGTGCTCCGGTATAGTCTAAATGTCATGGATAAAGATATGAAAAACCTTCAAGATGGCTTGAATAGCTGCAAGGAGCAGCTTCTCGGTGTCAATTCTACCTGTAGGAAAACACAACGTGGTGTCTTCCGAAAAATCGATCAAATGCAGAGGACGTTTGCAAATCAAACTGCTCACACCAGTGATAATTGCTGTGGTGAAGTGAAAGAAAGACTAGAACAACTGAATGACCATATCCTGAATGATCTCAGCAAGTGCAAAGAAAAGACCCAACGTATGCAGGAGGGTGTTTCGGATGTTGAGAGCCGAGTCTCGCGTGTTGAAAAAGTCTGTGGCAAGCTGGACTCTGTCTCAGGTAACTTGCAGAAGATAAAAGAAGGTCTGAATAAGCACGTGAGCAGCTTATGGAACTGCATCCGTGAAATGAATGGAACTATAGCAGCTCATTCCACCGATATTTCTGGCCTCAAAGATTCTGTCCAACAGTTTTCTAGTCAGGTCTCCAAAATCACCACGGACATGGAAGGCGTGCTGAAATCTCGGTCTGACACAAGTAAGTTTTTTGCCTTTTTAATGCTTTTTTTGTTTGTTGGTTGTTGTTTTTTTTTCAGCTAGCTTTCTTTTCCAAATCATTTATAAAGGAACTAAACAAGGGAGGAAAAATTTAGTATTACGTAATTTCTACTCTGTTTTTGCAGTGACTCTAATTTTGGCTGTTTACTCTAGAATGCCAGAGAGGACTTTGAGTTCTTTTTTAAAAAAAGTCTTATATGCTTTCATGTTTACTTTGAGCTAAAATAAAGAGAGTGGGAAAACTAATATTTTTGGATAGTGAATTTTAAGTAATAATTATCTGTGGGTATTATTCCAGTTCATTTGATTTGATTTTTTCTGTTTTGTTTTATTTTCCTGTGTGAGATTATTCTTGATTCCTCAGGGTAAATTGAAAAGTAAATGGAGAAAACCAAAGTCAAAGGAATTCAAATGTATGATAAGAAAGATTCCCTGTAAGTTTTGTTCTTAGCGTGTTAATGATTATAATTCAGCACCAACTCTTTGATTTAAGACTTCCACAAACAAGCTCTGGCATATCTTGGTGTGGCAATATAAGACTTCTGCTTCACAGCTCTCCCAGAAATTTGCATTCCTACAACGTAGTCGGCAAATTGGCACTAGGTGCACCCCCCAGCTGGCAGTGTTTACACACCCCAGCCACTTCTGTTAGTAGTCCAACACGTTAGCTCAAATCTACCTCCACAGGTGGTTTAAAGTTTGCAGTCAAGTGGCTGAGAGGTGGAGGCACGTTCCCCTTGGCTCAAAATGCTGTGAAATGGTAACCTCAACGCGTTGGTGACCCTTGCCACGAAGGTTTAGAGACCTTGCCAAATGCCACTCAGCTTCCTTTGCAGTTCTTGCTCCAGATTTCAGCAGTGGGTTCTGAGGGAGTCAGAGTTTACAGGAGGAAGCTGCGTTCCTGTTTCTGTGAACATGACGCAAAAACATAGGAATTGGAGCCTGTTTTGAAACTGCACTCTTCAGTCGGGGGAGGCTTCTGGTTTTAATTCTGTGCACATATGACATAAATAAGAGGCTGAGTTCTGCGACTGGCCTTAAGTCAGAAGGAGAGGTGCTGAGGGAAGAGCCTGTGGGCTGTTGCAGCTGCTGGTGGTTGGGGGAGATCAGATGTGGGACCGTGAGCACTCTTGCTTGAATGGACAAGTTGTGCTTCATGAAGGTACTTTCTTTAGGGAAGAATATCCTTCTCATTCCGAGGTGGAGACTTGAAACCCTGTGATAGATGTGTTTCTTTTGAGCGTTTAATTTTTTAAAACCAAATGTATTGCAGTACTTGACACAAAAAATCGTTCTGAGGTGAGAAGCTTTTGTGTGAAATTAAAAAAAAAAAAGTTTCTTTAAAGGAAGAAGTGAAGGGGAATGGAGGGGGTCCCTAATTCTCAGATAATTCTTTTGGTGAAATCCTGACTTAAATTCAAAAGGGCTAACACCTTCATCCCTAGATCTTGCATAAGCAGACCCAGTCCCCATTAAAATGCGCTGCGATGTATCTATGTAATCCTATTTCTCATCCATCTTGCCTGAAATAAATTTGCAGTAGGGAGCAACAGTGGAGAAAAGTCCAAGGTACACACACAGAGTAATCTTTCTTCTGCTATTTAAAGCAAGTGTTTGAGTGGCCTCATGGGTTGTATTTATCAGCCCCTATTACGATGTTGTAAACATTAAAAACCCTTAATGTGCCTGGGTTTCCATAAAATAATGCCGTTTCAGGGCAGAGCTCTCCATCCACCATTGGGTGTTAAGAGCTTATGGAAGGATTCTGCTGCTGGATCTGGGGTGCAGGCACTCTGGGCATCCCTCGCTGCTGTGGGTGCCTCTGGCCGCTGAAGGATTCATGAAGCACACGCCTCAGTCACCAAATGTTTCCCATTACAATAACACTATCTGGCACTGCAGTCCAAGTGAGTTTTGAAGGCTGGAGTTGCAGAAAGATTTTGGCAAAAGAACCTTTATTGGAAGTAGTTTGGGAACCCTGTTATGTAAGTTGGGGAATGGCTTTAACTATTTTTACATCCGTGATCTGCACCATCGTCCCTGATACCGACGTTATTTGAAAAGAAGGCTGTCAGTCCCGGCCGTAGATCAGTGTAGAATTTCTTATGCGCTATTTGCCAGCGGATCGTAGCATTCAGAGCATTTGACTTTGGAAGGGCTGAAACAGAAACAAGTTGTTACTAATAACAAGTTGTTGAGGGTGGTAAGGCAAGGATATGTTACAAGAAATACAATATAAAATCTTCCAAAGCGTGCAAGCCCAGCGCGCTGTAAACCTGAGCGAAGTCAAATGACCCTGATCTTAGGAATATGGCTGTGTTTTCTTCCAAACTTTTTATTAAGGGGTTCCAAGTGCCTCAGTCCAAACTAACAAGCCAGGTTAGTGAATGATTGTACATCAGATACAGACCCAGAGGCCAGAAATTTATTTAATTTGTTGTAATTTCTGGTGAATGTAGTGCAGCGTCCTGCAGTACACAAGGTGGTGCTGGCAGCGGGCGGTGCTGTGCTCTAAGCGTGTAGGGGACCACGCACGATGTGCTCACCAAGGTAGTGGGATCCAGCAGCTCTTTGTCCACATTAAGTGGTGACTGCCCCAGCCCCACGTCTTGCAGGAGAAGTTGTTCTCACTGCACTCTGTGCCGCTCTGCGGGTACATTTGCTCTTCAGATGGCACAAAACTGAAAGCCGTGTTAGTTAGTGGTCTCTGTTAACTTACTGCCTACTCATATAGATTCATGAAGTTTCCCAGGAATTAGAAGTGTGGTCTTGCAGCCAGATACAGTGTTGGGAGTGCAGTTTGCTTTGGTGATGGTTATTTGACCTGAACTGCAATTACTCTGGTAATTGTCTCTGTAGCAGGGTTTTGAAAGCAACAGCAAAACGTTGTCTGCTGAAGTTACAGTATAAGAAACCAAATGTATGCTCTGCATTACAGCAGATAAAGTCTTAGTGTTGTAATGCAAATAGTCCCATAGTCCGTTCCCCTAGGCTCCCTGTGAGCTTGTGCAACGCAGTCCCTTTGGTATCTGTAAGAAAATTCAAGTCGGGTCTTTTTGGCTCCTTGTGAGCAAAGTCACAGATTCCTTTACTCGCTGGTTTGTTTTACACACTTTGTTTCTGTGCCTTTTGGGGGCTGAGGAGAGCATGGTTGGGGCAAAGCAATGCTAGAAACAGACACACCCTGAAGATCCACCTGCCTCGTACATCCAGGTCACTGCTCATCTTCCTTCCCAGCAAATCATTCCTCCTTTGGTGAAGTAAATGGCAGGTTGAAGCTGCCTGGCTGAACAAACTGAATAAAATAAAGTCTTTTTGAGAGTGGGAGGGGAACAAAAGCATTCTTGTTTTCACTGAGGAGGGAAACCTTTCCTTCTGTTTCAGTTGTGGGTGGGCTTGTGAGAGCAGAAGCTGTTGTGTGACATGGTAACTGAGTTGTCACACAGTGATGACAACTGGGGCAGCAAGGATGTTGCTGCTGAGGGCTGTGTGACCGTTCTCAGCTGTGCAATGATCTCGGCTCTCTCTTTGCCTTCCCAGATAGATGGGAAGAAGATGGGGAAGATTTCTGTTTTGTCAGCTGCTCAGCAAAGCTTAGGCAGGTCCGGCTAGATTCACCCCAGCCTTCCTCGGGAGTTCATTTTCTCATTGCCTTGTGAATTGAAAACGCGCGTTACGGAGTTCAGCGTCAGGACAGGGTGGCTCCAGTGTTACCATCTTCATCTAGTGATGTATTGGTACTTTGTCTTGCTGTGACTCATCTCAGTAGAAGAGGCCAAAAAAGTTGGCAGACCAGATCCCTCTCAACCCACACATATCTGATTACTGGCACTTTAAGTTGAGCTTTAGGCAGGTAATTTTGGATTTAACTTTATGGAGATCTAGTTGGATAATTCTGAATGTTGCAGTATTGATGCTGCCTGCAAAGAAGCCATTTGCACGGGATACGGGTTTTGAGCTGTTGATTGTTATTTAAAGGTTTAGAAAAGCAAGCAGAGAAATGTATTCATTTTCCCTGTGTCATTGTCTCAATAAAGCTCAGCTTCATTGACTAGAGAAATGACAAGTACGTGCATCCCAAGGTAAAGTATTTTGTCAGTTTGGGTTTTGAATGAGGTTATTTTGAAGACCTTAGTTGAAGGTCTAAATCTATGCCACTGGGGACCGAAGATGTCTCACTAAGTTAACAACTCTGTTACCACTTCGATACTTTAAGCCTTTTTTTGAAACTTTTTATAAGATTTTTAAATCCTGGGATTTTTTAAATCTGTGTAAAGTGAATATTTCACTCCTTAGTCCTCTGCTTTGTAGATAAGAGTTACCAAATGAACTTCAGCCCAGCTTTGTAGTGCATTGCTCATATAAGTTTCAATTCTCGTGACAGTTAAGCCAGCAAAGCTCAGGAAGACTTTTTTTCTAGCAGGCGTATCTAGCAAATGAATGCCGGTGGTGCGAGACAGTGACCTCAGACAGCCCCTCGGTACTCTGGAGGGCTTATGTGGACTTCTTATGAGACTGAAAACAAGAAATGAGATTCACAAAGGTGAAGTGCAGGTGTCGAGTAGTCATGAAACAGCACGTGGGTTGCCAGCGGCACCGTCTGCACCCCAGCTGTGTGTCACGGACAATACCCGCGTGACTTGGTTGTGAGCCCTCGCGCAGACCGAGTCCCTGCTGGGGGTCCCCAGCTGCGCAGCAGAGCCAGGGGAAGCCTCATGCCACGTCTGCTTCTAGGCACAGCCATTCGGTTTAGCCTTAGCCACTGATGAATCTGCCCGGGCTGATTTTGGACTGTGATGAACTGAAGCGCTTTGCTCTGACCACTGAGACCTCGGAGCGGTGGTCTCCGCTGTGGACCATGGGAAGCACCTCTGGTGTGATGAGTTGCATCAGATAAATTTGCAAGGGGTCTGTTTGTCTGTTTCCCCAGAAACTCACTTCCACCCCTGCACCTGAAGCCATGCTTTAGCCTCAAAGTGCAACCAAAATAACTAATGCTAATGCTTAATTTAGAATAAAATGCTAATTATTCTGTGTAGAACTGCATCTGCTGAAATCTATACATTTGTAAATTCTGGTTCTTAATGTAGATGTAATTCAGCTTCATTCTTGAGAGGATATTGCATCCTTAGATGTCATGTAGGACTTCATTTTTATGAATAAGCCGTAATTTCTATAAAGGGCTTAGAACAGGACCAGAAACACAAATGTAACGGTGTCAGTGCTGTTCAACCCTGATGTCATATGTGTTGGCTGCCCTACTGGAAAAGTCTTTTAATGGTATCTCTTCTCTTTAAACAATAAAGGCTTTTCTGGTAGATTATATCCTAGGGTTCTGCCTTCGTTGTCAGAAAATATTAGTAATGGGAGTACTTGGAATTTTAAGTTCATTGCTTTCCAAAGCAGGGAAAAAAAAAAATCTGTGAGTTTGTATTCATTTACTTTTTTTTTTTTTTTTTTTTTTTTCTTTGTGGTAGTGCTAAAGAGTCAGCCTTGTGCTAGGTGCTGTGTGAGTACAGAGTCGAAAGTAGGAGTGCTGGGCAGGAGGGGTTCAGGAGGACTGAAGCGCAGGTAGAGAGGAGAGCACGCAATGGAGAGGAAGGCGCGGGCGAGGAGAGGTGTGGTACACAGCCCCCTGGGTGCAGAACGCCAGAGCCGGACTGGTGGGTGAATGTTCGTGGACCTTTTTGATCATTTGACTGATGCTCATCCTGTCTTCAGGCTGTCTTCGTCCCTTGCCCCGTGTCACGGGCTGGGAAAGAGGGCAGTCTGTGGTGCTGCAGGAGCGGAACAGTGTTTGCCAGTGCACTCGTGGGTCTGAGGGGAAAGGCTGAGTCCTGTTTTATTTTAAAGTTGGGTTTTTTTAACTAAAACACGCAATTTTATATACTACTTTCGGCAAATAATTCTGTGGTTTTCCTCTTCTTTCATCACTTCAAAGGGCCATCAGAAGTACCACGGCAGCTGCTGCCACCAAGACCACCCCCGCAGCCCCAACCTGGCATTTCCCTGCTGCCATCGAGGCCGAGGATACAACCCCCGCGACATAGGACCCCCCTCCAGCTACCGCAGCCGAGACCTCCTCCGCGTCCGGCGCTGCCAGGGTCGGGAGTTGTGCCGTTTCTGCCTGGAACAACCGGGATCATCCTGGAGACTGGAGAGGCAGGGCCTCCTGGCACGGTTTTGATGTCAGGAAGAGGGCGGCTTAGGAGTGTGGATGGTCAGGCTGGTCAAAGTACCATGCCCAGAGCCGAAGGGTACGCTGGAGCGCCAGGTGAGAGAACCAGACCAGTGGGGCCTCACTCCTGTCTAGGTGCTGGGGCTTGCTAGAGGGGGGACACTGAGATCGGTTGCGCTTCACCAACCACCCTTCAGCCTTTCGTGGATGCCAGTTACAGCTGTTGTCACTGGGAATGGGCTGATGGCCCGGGTGCTCTGTGAGTGGGCTTTGCAGCCTCCAGCCGGCTGCAGAAGTGGGGGAAACACGTTCAGTGCCAGTTTTGTTGCCTTTGCCGAGGCCGCACAAAGCATGAGGTCAACAGGGCTGATGTAAAAGCCTCGGTAACTACCGCAGTCTTCGCCTCTACAGAAACTTAAATTATTTTTTTTTCTTACTGTAGCGCTTGCTATGATTTTGCTGTCGTTACTGAGCTTTAGTACATTGTAGGAACAGCGCGGAGTCTCTAAAATAGATGAGGCAGGTACCCGAAATGAGATTTATTCTAATCGACATTGTTTAGCACTCTGACATTAGTAAACTACAGGTTTGGCTGTCTGGCAAATGGAACTAACACGACACAGCTGACTCAGGCTTAAGTTTTCGGGATGATGACCCAAAATGCGCAATCACTGACCCAACAAAGTGAGGGCTCTCCGCCTCGAGGAGTGTCCCGATCCACGGCAGAGTCCCTGACTGCAGACCCGCTGCTCCGAGGAGGACTGGCCCAGTTTGCCCTATGGCAAATACTGCAGCAGTGTTTTGTCATAATGTACCCCGTGATGTACTGTGTGACAGGCACTACTTTTTCTTTGTAGGGTATCCAAAGTTATCTCCTCCTGCCACAGACTCGCAAGGTAAGGCGACTTTCCTAGAAATTCTTACACAGGTACTTAATGTTTATTTCAGTTCCTGGAAGGTCATGGTTGAGAAAACAAAGTGTTAGTTTTTGGTATTTGAGTTTAACATTGAGGAAAATCTGACAGATTTTAGCTGTACCTAAGCATTAAAACATAATCTGCATCCTTTGAAAATACGGGGTTTTTAGGTTTTGAAAAATAATTCATTTTGAATTGTTACTTACTTCAGTGGGTTTTTTTAATACAAAGTTTTCCATTTCCTAGCAAATGTCAGTACTGACCTTTTTTTGCCTTTTAAATGAGAAAATACATATTTCTTTCTAGCAATTTTAATGTTTCTTTAAGATATGAATAAGGCCAAGACTAAGATCTTGAAGCACTGTTAGTATCTGAGCTAGTGCATGAGTTGGTCCTCCTCGTGGGAGGGTTTCTGGCTTTGTTAGAATCATGAGGGCTGGTGTTCCTGACTTCAGTGGAAGCAGGAGTGTTGCCAATGACAACCAGTTTAAAAAGGTTCAAAATGGAGTTTTCTTGGTTTGGTGGGGTTTTATTTTTTTTTATGATTGTTAATATCACAGTTAATTTATGGATTTGTGTGATAAATAGGTATAAATCTTGTCTGGGATATGCTAGTTGGCCTTGATAAATACGCTGATTGGGTGCTGCCTGCCCTACTACCTCATACTCAAGATACTATCAGACCCTGCGGAATGGTATCCTGCATCAAAGTGAATATTCCCACACCCTCTTCAAAACTAATGATTTTATCTAAATTTGTTTGAGGAAATAGGAGAAATAGATGAAAATAAAACATTAGGGCTTTATGGCATCTAAAATCCTCCCCCTGGGACTTCCTTGATGGCCCTAACAAAATCACAGATACGCTTCCTGAAGACTGGTCTGGGGACTGACAAAAAGAGCTGTAGAAAGTTCACGCTGTAATTCTGATATTTATACTTTCTAATTAAAAATCTGTCATAGCTTCAAAGCAATCTTTCTGCATTTGAGGATCGTGGTGGTAAGAACAAGCAGCAATAGGTGAGGCTTCTGGAAGAGGATGAGAAGTACAGAAACGTTCATTTATCTTGATGCCAGCAAAGCCAATACAGATGGCTAGATTTCTGTGATAAATGGATTTCCGGGGGGGGTTTCTTCCATGTTGTAAAATCTATTGCCATTTATAGACAGCATAAGCTAAAACTATGTGAAACAGTAGGTGGATGTTAAAAGTGTTGAAAAGGCAGGGTGTGGCAGGCAGTGCACCCGTTTGCTGCTTGGTGGAACATGTTGCAAGAAACGTTATCACCCTGGGATCCAGAGAGAGGTGGGCTTGACCAAGGAGTTGCTTTCCTGATCTGGGCCCCTGAAGAGCTGTCTAAACATAAGATATACCCGCGGATCTGTCCTATAACTTGCCCCAAAATGCCTTGCAAACCCCAATGGCAGGTACAGCCATAGAAAAGAGAGGTAAGGACGGTGCAAATAGCTGTTAGACTTGGCAGTGTTGTGGAAATTAATAGCTGGGGCAGGGAAGATTTTTTTGCGTATTGGAGGAGGAACTTAACGCTTAACTAGGACATCAAGGAATCCTTAATATCTAATTTGTGCAGGACCACAGCTGATGGTGTCTTTGACAGTCTTCACCCAGTACATTTTGTGGTACTGAAATTCAAATTTGAAAGAAGATCAGACCTTCTGGTACTGTAATTCCTAAAATAAGAAACTTGTACTGTTAAATTGGCCTTCTGAGTACTCCCTTTCATTTCTGTTTCTGAATAGCTTCTGTTCTATAAAAGAACAGGAAGAACTTGAGGGCTCCAACCCTGTCCTCTGGATTAAACTAGCCCACTTCCGTGCTATTCTCGAATGCTGAGGCATGATTTGCAGACTTTCAATACAAAAGTTTTTCTTGAGTTTTTTGGACTAGCTATCTGTTTGCGTGCATCTCGTAACGTCACGTCGTAGGTACAGATCTTAAGGACTTACAAGTATTAATGAGAGGGAATAAGGTGCGTGTATTAGCTGTGTTTTCACGGGCAAGTGTCAGGACCCAAGTGCATCCACCTGATCCCTTTTAATACAGAAAGAGTTGAACCAATTGTTGCTTAAAGAAACATCAG